TCCGGGATCAGTTTTGAATCTGCCTGCCCATACCATCAGTTGGTCACCCCACCATCGTAGTGAAGCTGTACAAAAAGACCCGTTCAGACCGTGTAGTGACATGAATTCCCCTTAGAGGGGCGACTGTCATAAACCATTGGTGGGACTGGTTGCATTTGTATGGTCTATTCCAAAGCAGTCGGGTTCACCTAGAGGTATTTACGCCAAATCCCAGAGGAAGGCCACCGAAGAAGACCCGGGACGCTTCACATGCCAAGTACATCCAAGTTGGCATATCGACCTACAGTGGAGCCTCGGATGACGAGCAGTCCCACCTACGACCATTTCAGGTAACGAGCGAACCACCAGCAAAAATGTTTCACTGGCGAACTTCCGCTCATTTAACGAGATATCAGTGTGTGTTTGTACCTGCGTCCACCGTTGAGTCGTTCTGCCCAGGCGCGCGTCTTTGGCCGTCTGCAGACAATCAGTAAACTGTTGCAGTTTAACTGGCTAGGTTCCTCTAGACGAGTAACTCACGTGACGAATTCGGTGCCGAAATGAGTTAAATTCGTTAACCGAGGTTCCACTGTAAATGGTTTGTCGACTTCGACGGGATGAGCGGAAGCCGATTCGAAAAAAATCCTCCCATAAGGAGATAGCAGCAGTAGCCGTGACCTTCCTCTAGTAAAATTAAACCAGTAATAAAACTCACCATCCCTAACTCGAAGAAAAAAGATGATTATTTGACTGAAACCGACGATTTGAGATTATGAAGGCGTATGGAGATGGAAATGAGGAAAACCAAAATCGAGTCGGAGGGAAGGGTAGATAGAAGAGCCGATAGTTTCGACGATTGACGATGGACCTAGGTGACTTTTTCTAGGAGATGTGATTCCAATGATGCGAGGAGTGGATTCACTGGTTGCGCCACGCGAGGTAGGTGCGTAAAAAGCGCATGGAGTAACACGGTGAGATTAAAAATATTAATAAGGGGTACAATTTACCCGCTTTAAAAACTAACACGGCAATTAAAAAGGCGTGTCACAGAACGTCTACAAATGAAAATTAGTAACTCAACGCCATACTGAAAGAAGGCGTTGTTGGTCTCTAGTTTTTGCTAAGTGTTGTAATGTCATTTTATTAAGTCCCTCCACATTGCCGACTTATAAGATGTGCAGGTTTGGCTATGTCCGGAG